TATTATTCAGTTAAGCAGTTTATGCAATTAGCCTTAGTAACCAACTTGGTTCTGAGATTTTGTATTCATTTATACAGAATATTTATTTATACAGTATTCATTTAGACAGATTTGACTGTATAATATAAATATAATAAATAACTATATAAAATAACTAAATTTAAATGCTTTTTAAAAGGAATATACTATACTACAGTTAATCCTAAATATTTTTATTTAGGTTTAAAATTTTTTTAGATTTTTTCTTTTTGCTAATGAAATGTTATATAATATTTATATTTTTTATAACTGGGCTGATAGAATTGATGTTTAATATTATAATTAATAGTTTTGGATTTACTATACTAAAATTAGTACAAAAAACTAAATTTAGTAAAAGAGATATATTTATTTTAATGTAGTTAAAGCTTTTGTTAAATATTATATAATATATTAACCAAAACTGAATGATTTTAGTACCATTTGTTTTGTCTCATTGAGATGAATCAAAAGGTACAAAAATTATCTAATTCTAATTAATAAATCACTTATTAAAGAATGTTTAAAAAATATGTTCCTAATTTGATATAGTGCTTAATTTGATGCAGTTATATCATGTGATGTATCAATTAAAATTGCAAGATTTTAGTACCATTTGATTTGTCTCATTAAGATGAATTGAATGGTACTAAAATCTTGCAATTCTGATTGATATATTACATAATATTTATTGTAAATGTTTACCTGCATCAAATTAGTTATATCTACCTTAGGCTATTTTGTCAAATAGAGTATCTTAGAAGTATCAATTAGAATCACATGATTTTGGTACCTTTTGATTCATTTGAATCAAATGGTACTAGAATCATGTATTCTGATCATACTTCTTGAGATATCATTGTGCATCAAATTAGGAACTGCATCAAATTAGGTATATCTCTCTTATGTTTTAAACCTATTTATTTAATAATTTTCAAGAAAACTAAATATTTTAATAGTTTTTAAAAATTTTATAAGTATTAACAATGTTGTAATTAAAAGCTTATATATAGATTTAAATGTTTTTTAAAAATCAAACCTATTTTTGTAAAGTCAATAGAATTTTTTACATTTTTTTGTATGACAAAATTTTTATCATAAAAATTATTATTAAAAATACATCACAAAGTGTAATTAATTTAGTATGCAAAAAAGCCAAAACTTCTATATATAAAAAATTTTTTATTAATAAATAATATTAAACTATTCTATACTTTGTAATAAATCCTTTTTTTATATAAAAAAAATTCAAATATATAATTTTTTTTTTATTTTTTTATTATTTTTTAAAGTGTATTTAAAGGTGTAAATCCAAATCATTAATATATATTAATATACGTACGTACGTACGCACGCTACATTTTTATCAATGCTAAATTTTTCGTAAGTCACAGTGAACAAGCCACGGCGTACCCGAGATTTTTTGTTGGTTGCGCTGGAGGAGTTCCCTTCAACATTGTCTGAAAATTAAGGAATTTAATTACACCTTATTTTGACTTTTCAGGCTGGACTAGAAACAGTCGGCGATCACAATATCTAACGTGGCTAATCTGCCTATAACGATAATGGCACGTCTGAAATGCGTGTCAGATTTCAAGATCAGCTGTAACGTGATACGATCAGGAAAACGTTCGCTTTGTCAAAATCGATTATTTCTCAAAAAATCTGCATAACAGGTAAGAAACCATCTTTAATGCTTTATTAAAAAGTTTCTTCTTGAACAATTTTATTATATTGCTAATATAAGCGCTAACCTTAACGTCAATGAACTTTACCGAATTTTTTCTGTGGGCATATTTCAGAGATTTACCATGATTTTTTATACAGTCGTACCTGGGTTATATCACCCCTTTTTTCTCTATTATGTTTTTGAATTTTTTTTGGAGATATAACTAAGGTTGAGATATAACTCAATATATAAAACATATACAAAAAGGAAATTTATTCTGTCTAAATATGGGGATATAACTAAGGCAACAAATAAGAGGGGATATAACCCAGTGGAGATATAACTCAGGTATGACTGTATATGCTAATTCTTTTCTAACCATAATAGGACTTTTTAAACCGCCCGGACTCATTAGGTTCATATGTTAAAAACTTAGGTTTAGAAAAGAATTGTATTTGTTGGTACCTTTTAGTCTACTTAAATACGAAAACATTATTCTATCATTGATTTGAACTTTAAAATAGAAACAATTAACTAAACTAAATCACATGCTATTACGAATTTTAATTTTCTTCCTAATATTCATCGGCTCCTGCAAAAAGTAATAATTATTCTAAAAGAATTTATATTAGAAGTTATAAAATGTTTCAAAATTTTTGGGTTACTGAATATTCAAGTAAAAAATAATCATATTGAATTACTATTCACTTAGAATTTATAAAAAATATTATTAAACATATAATGAACACTACCATTACTGCTACTAATACTCTTACTGCCAAATTGCGTCCAGATACACCTGTAGTACTAGCACTCTGACACGTGGCAGCACATTTTTCTTCGTCGATCCCATCAGCATCAAATCTAAAACAATGTGCACAGACAGTAATAAGGCAATAAGAAATGATGATAACAACCATACATATTACTATTATCATTACAATAGTACTAATGGAAGATCCAACATCAGAAAAGTCAAATTTAGGTATTTTAATATCAGGAAATTCAAATTCAAGTATATCAGGAAATTTAGGTTCAAGCATTTTTTTTTTAAGACTGAAATATTCTGCGTTGATCGTGTAGACGTTTAAAGACTTGTCACTAACTTTGTTGTATCTGGTGAATACGACCGTAGTAGATCTTTTATGTATAGGAAGACTAAGAACAAAGTGACATAAAAAAATTATTAAACTCATAATTATTAATTTATAAAATGCAATTTTTTAAAAAAATAATAATAAAAATTATATTTTAGCCATACAAAATTAATTTCTTGATTTCCATAACATTAAAATTCTAAAACATGCTTTTTTTTAAAATTTTATATATAAAAATTTTATCAATTTTTTTTTCTAAAAATGTACACTTGATTATTAAAGCATATAAAAAATTTTTCAAATGTTTTCAAAAGTTTGAGACGGTTATGAAATCCAAGATAGTTTTGTATGACCTTATCGTTATATACTAAAATATTTAATTATGTGCCATTGTTACGAAAATTATTGGCTAGAAACAGTTCTGGTAGCTTAGCCAATGTTAATCAAAAGGTCGTTATATAGCACAAGCCTCAATGACGTTAAATGCCTTAGGAGTAAAAGGATAAAAGTTGTGATAGTATCTTGTTCCACATGCCCAAATGAACAGTTGAAAGGAGATCTAAGCTAGTATATGATATGAACATTATTTGTAGCATTCAGTCCGTAAGATCAAGTATAATCCATGTTCTGCTAGAGACGAGAGGACTGGAAGCCAAGCTCTAAGTTAGGTGACAGCAAAACGAAAAAATGCTGGAACAAACCCTTTCTTGGTTTTTTTATAGTCGCCATAAACCAGATGATGTGATAATCAAATGGATTCATCCTTAATACGTGTGCTGTATACTTTAGAATCATCAATAAACTTTTCACGATTTATTAATACTGTTAAATATGCTATTGAATATTTATGTGATATAATTATAAAAATATGGTGAATTTACACATAAAGGACCGAAAATGAAAATAATTACGGATGAGGGCCCAAAATACATATAGCGGCCTAAAATCAAAAATTATTACGAATAAGGGCCTGTCCGATCTCCGAGCTGTGGCGACTAAGCCACAAAACTTACCGATACATAGCGCCGTCTAGAAAAATGGTAGCCGGATTTTTTCTGGTTTACATATGACTTCGAAAACTGATTGCCGATAAAGTTGTTATCGTAAACATTAGAACGTTGATCTTTGTTTTGACTTTCACTTGGTCTTGAATTTCGCTTTGACTTTGACTTTTGCTTGATTTCATTTAACTCTCGCTTTAATTTTGTTTTGATTTTGACTTTCGCTTTAACTTTCATTTTGGCTTTCATTATGACTTTCGCTTTGTCTTTCATTTTGATTTTTACTTTTATTTCACAAAAATATAATTTTGATCAATCGTTTAAATAAGTTATTTATTAATGTTAATTTAGGCTAGTAAATACAAAGAATTTTAATGTTCAAAACAATCACTGTTTTTTTTGTGTTATTTAGTTATGTATAAAGATCTTTGTTAATCAACGCGTTAAAATTTGTAGTCATAAATTTGTTAGCGAGATTCGTGAATAGTACCTTTAGTTTTTTCATGTAAAAAAAATTAATTACATCTTAAAGCTATTTTAGTGATGTTGTATAATT